CGAAATCGGCTTAACCTATAGACTTATATAGTGTTAAAAATAAATAACAACGTGTTTTGAGCGAAGGTCTGATACAATTAGCATAATACGGTATATATAGTAATAGTGTGTATAAATAAAATCAGCGGAATCGGCAAATCACCCGCCGAATCAGACGAATTTGTACAGAACCGTACATATTCGACCTGCACACCCTAATCTATCTACACTTTAATCGCCTAACTGTTAAAAGAAAAAATAAATACAGTACAGTACAGGAATGGTTTTCGAAAGCCCATTATTAGTAAAATTATTGATAAGCGTGATTTTAACCATACAATATCGAACAGTAAATGATTACTTGAGGTTTGACAAATTAAAACAAAAATTTAAGACATACAGTAATATCATGAGATTTGATTGTGACAACGTTTCTTTTGTAAATTATTTAACCCGAGGAAAAGTCACTATTTAAAGACACTTATTCATCTGATTAATTATTTACATAAAAAAAGGAACCAGAAAAACATTTAAGAAGAAGTCATAATATTAGCTTTCGTACGAAAAGCATACTTTTACGCTAACGTTTTGCGAAAAATATTTGTAATATAAAATTTAAGTTTAGCTATAATGCTTAATACATAATATTAGTCTAGTGAAATACAAATGTCCGAATACCATAATAAAAAACTTTGATTCATACAAAAAGAAATCAGGTAACAGGAAAAAAAAAACAATAAACGCCATATTGTCTATGTGTTATTGTTTTTGAAGGCGATGAAAATGATAAATGTGTTTTTCGGCGCCTACTTTTAAATGATATAATTTAAGGAACACAAATATAGTGTTCGAAAAATTCCTGTTACCTTCAAAAAATAACTACCCATATAAAAATTTCACGATATAACTAAAAGAAACTTAATAAACAAAATTATGCAATAATAATGGTCATGTAATCAAAAATTAAAATAATAGTTGATTGCGCCATTTTCTATACTTAATGCTGAATAATTATTGTTAAAAGTGTCAAAGTTAATACTAGAAAGATCATTGATATCTAAAGAGAAGACCGAGTGAGCTTCAGTAGGGGGAAAAGTTAACTGATTTGATAAGCCATCGTTAATACAACCAAATTGATAAATTTGATTTTCTAAAGGATAATAGCGCCATGGTGAAATTGGTGCAAAAGAAGGGTACAAAAGAGAATTATTGGGAAAATTGAATTCCTCTATAGGAGGTTGAGGAATAACCGGTGGAGGTTCTTCTAGGGATGGTTCGTTTTGCGGATGATCCGTTTTAATAATTTGATAATAAAGCTGTTCAGCTTCGTTTGAGATTTTAACATAGATTTCCTTTACGAAAGAGGGTTCCGCCTTCC